AGCAGGAAGTGCACTGTTCAACCATGATTTTGCAGAACTCCTCGTTCTGGACACCTGCAGAAACTAAAGTACCGGGATTTTAACTAACATTACTCACCACGTATTGGCTGACCGCAGTTCAGAAAAATAAAACTAGAAACACAATCTGGAAGCCTAAGGCTGTTTCAGCTGCAACCTCTCGGCCGCAAAGAGCCTGCCAGCAATTCCACCACCTTTTCCAGCGCAGCCTGCTGGTCAAACAATAATCCATGCCCCTCCTACCACCTTCCTGCCAGGAATCACCCACGTCCCATGTCCCATCCCACCAGGGAACGCAGTCAGGGCACAAGAGAAGCTGGAAGAGAGGCAGCCCGCAGCTCTGCCAGCACACCCTGGTACCAACAGCTTCTAACATTTTTTTTCCCTCTGGGAACCTCAAGGGCTCCTCTTCTGATCTCTCCACGCAGAGGATCACCCACCAGCTGTGATGCACGGTCCTCCCTGTCACAACAAGCTACAAGCAGGTGTAGATTCCAGGCTCTAACCCCACACACCAAGGGTATCACATACCATAACAGCTATCGCACCCAAGCGATTGCAGTCAGATGAAATTACAGACAGCGAGAGTATCCTTTTTTAGGGTTAAGATGCACATTTGAATTCAGCCCAAAGGCAGCATTTCAGAAATCTTTACAATTACAATAGAAAAGCTTGACTGAGGGATAACTTCTGTATTGAAAAAAAAGTGACTGCACTACTAAATTAGTATTATACTAAAAACTAATAATTATATTAAAAATGTCACCATTCCACACACTTTCACTGCAAACTGTAGAAATGAACAAGCGTTTACCTTCAGGTTTTGGCACGTGAGAGCTGTAGCACTGCATAAATGCATCAGAAGTAACATGAGGGAGATTGCCTGATTTCTTGTACATACTTAGCGCCCTCCCTTACAGAAACATAGTACTAAGTATCACAGGAAGACAAAAAAGGTGAAATTACTATGTAATTTCGCATCTTCTAGTGACACTGCTTTTCAAATCTGAAGTTAGCTAAAATCTAGAACAAGGAAAGAACCCAAAGAGATGAAAAAGTTCACCTACAAAATGTCATTCTTTATAGAGTATGGGGTTTTTTTAAATCAGCAGAAAGCTATGTAATTTTCTTTAAGCCTACAAAACAAAAGACACAACACTGTAATGAACATAAGGGTCATCAAGTCCAACTCCCTTCAATTTCCAATGTTCTACAAACCATACCTCAAGGTACATGAAGTCTCAGCCACCACATTCTACAGAAGAAAGGGAAAGCTGGATGTACGTCCTATTTGCACACAAACGTTCACCTGAACTGGAAAGCGGTCCCAGTCTGATGAGATTCAAACATCTCAACCTTTCTGACCGCAATTTAAAAGCTTACAGAAAACTATCAGCTGCAGATACATACTCTCAGTAACTAAATTTAAAAAAACCCCAAACAATAATAGAATGAAAATCAATGCAACTTCCATGGAAAACTAAGAAAACAACTAACATGCAGCACCTCTCAATGTATACGCTCTAATTCCATAGATTGAGAAGAGTATAAGGAATAAAAAGAAACAATTACTGACAAAAAGGACTTGAACAACTCTCAGAATTGTGACAGTGTGTTCCAATTAGGAGCAGAAATTTGACTACCTGGCTTAGGTGGTGCATGAACAATTTTGGCCGAACATGATGGTTCTGCAGTGACTGGTGTGTCTCTACGTGCACATATCTGGAGAGAACCCGATACCACCTTCTGCACATTCACCTCTTCTTCTCTTTCTCCTCTGTCCTTATCTTCATTCTCCACTCGCTCTGTGTGATCCACACTCAGGGGAGTCAGCTCAGACTGATTGACATGAGATTCACTTCTGTATGCGAAATCACATGCCACCACGTCGTCTACATGGGAATCCATAGGCTCTTCTGTAAATAAATAAAAGTTGCATGAGTGAATTTCTCTCTGTATAACCACTCTTCATGCATTATACAACATTAAACTAACTCATTTTCAATTTTCCAACAGATAAAGTGACTGTTTGCAGTAGTCTGAAAACAGGAAGCTTCCTTTATGACTCTGAATTACTAGCACCAACTCATTTACAAGAACAGATTTTACTGTCTCCACTAAAACGGGGCACTCAATCTCACATCACGACTTCAAACAAACACCAAAAAACCACCTACCAAATCACTAAATCCAAAAAAGTTTAAACACACACAAGATGCAAACTATAACAACTCAGAGACGGGACACAGGTTCCACCACAGCTGAGAACAGCTGGGTTTGGTGTTGGATAAACAGGGTGTGACTGGCTCGGTCACCTAGAAGAAAAACCCTCCTTTCCCTGCTCTCTCCCTTTTCTCTGCCACTCACTGTCCAGCTTGGTCCTCTCCAGATTATCACTTCGATGACAGAGGTAAAACAGGGTCTAATTCTCTACAGTATCCAGCTAGAAAGAAAACACATGCCCAGAGACAAAAACGAAAATAAGCTGGTCTACCCAAAAAAATAAAGAAACGTATTTCTCACAAGAGTGAATCAGCTCCATCATTTAGTCTCTGGGCTACACACCCCTCTTCATTCTGTAAAGACACAACCTACCCAGACCTTTATAAAAGGGTCTACAGACAAAAATCTAAGTGCAATAGATCACTCAAGCAGGTACTTTGTCTTCCTTTAGAACATCAGTATTGGTTGTCAAATGCAAAAGAACTTCTTACCTTCATTTGCTGTTTTTGGAACATCTCCTTTGGAAATAAATTTCAACATTTTCTTCAGAACTTTCTTGTGAGACTTGGAGGTCTGAAAATGCAAAGCCTGGCACCTTACAAAGAAAAAAGAAACAGTAATTATTTCTTTTGTCAAATATTATTTCAGAAAAAAATGTTAAGGAACTACTTAAATTCACACCGTATACGTATTATCTAACTATTTCTTGGTTTTCCCTGTATTAGGGGGTCAAATATTTCATCAATGCTTTTGAGTTAATAAAATCAGATTGCGTTTTACTGCGTAACATCATTCTCTACAGCATGTTTTGCATGTATGTCACTATAATGACTAAAATATGCCACGGTAACCTCAAGCACTGCTTAAAAAAAAGCTTTCCTAGGAGGCTAATACACCAAAATCTTTCAGTTATGTCACAGATACAGCACTGACTAACTACCAGTGTCTGACAAGCATATCTATGATTATTCACACCAATTCAACTGACCACCTCGCTTATTCGGGCTGCTAAAGCAGCATCTGTGGGATACAGACCGGGTCACCTGCAACCAGCGAGCGAGAAAGGAATTGCAGGACTCTTGCTCTGGTTTGCAACCCATAAGCAAAAGGCAAGGGCACATACTTAGCAGATTGCTTACAGGAAAATATCACTGTGTTTACACACAAACCCAACAGCCTATATTTAGTACTCAAAGTATCACTAAAATTATTCAAATGTACAACAGCAAACACAAAAGGTAGAACATAAATGAAGTGGTCAAATCACAGAGAGTGCTTTTAGGTTCTTACCTTATTGTGTATTGAGGACAACACGTCTGATTCATGATAGGCTTGTAGACATATTTTCCACTTCTAAAAATAATAGGAAATAGGTACTGATTATTTGTTGCGTGTACTACAAAATAAATGGAAGACTAACCTTTTCTGTTAAAATAACATCAAAATATTACATGACGAGTAACAAGCGCCAAGCAGCAAGTTCTTTGGCTTTTCGCTGTTATACAAAAATACTATCCCTCTAAAATAACCGAGTATTTTCCCGTTAAATTGTGTTACGGTACAAAGAGCTGCACTGCATCCAACAAATAGTTCTATTTCAGTTACTCAGGGCAACTAGTTAGCTGTTTTCAAAGACCTAAATTTAAATTCTAAATTGGACCTAAACTGACTGTATTTTCTTTTTAAATTTACCTCCGCCATCCTCTGTCTATGAGATCCTGGTAATCTTGAACAGTCATCGAATGTGCCCACATACCTGGAATAAATAACACAATAACACGCTTGAGTGACTACACTTATGTTTTAAAAACACAAGTTCTACAGAAATTTTACTGTAAAGCTCACAGTGACCTTTGAGCAGGTATCTTTCAAGGATTTCTATATTCATCTCATAAATTGCTGATTTCAACACCTGCTTTAAGCATAAAAAACAAAACCAACATAAACATTTGGATGCAATCAACTATATTTCTCCGACTGTACAAGGTAAAAGTTCACCCCTCCAGCTACTATCTTTCCCAGAAACACACCAACAAAACAACAACAAAAAGAAATCACTTCTTAATTTCGTTAAGACCATTCAGAAACAGGAGAACTCTCCCCAGAGGTGCTGAAGCTGATCCAGACTCTTCCCAAGGGACCCTCTGGGCTCGGCCCAAACAGCTCCTGCGGCCCGGGGCAGCAGAGCTCAGCCTAAGTGAAACCTGTCTCGCCGGAGCTTTAGGGCAGACACGCTCTTATCCGCGATTAGCCCGGGCAGCGGGGGTCAGGCGGGGCAGCCAAAAAAACCCCGGTAACCCCGCACCCGGGGAACTCCCGGGCGAGGTGCCAGCGACACCCCGGGGCTGCACGGGTCACCACTCCAGTAACTACAGCGTTTCGTCCTGGAGCAAGCTTTCCCGGTGTTTTTTTGGATGGCTCTCCCTTGGCTGGAGGTGAGGTTTCCCCGGAGACCCCTCCGGCCTC